GTTTGGACTTGCAGTGCTTTGATTAACAAATGATGAGGTGTTGATTTAGTGAAACATTTGTGCATCTTATCTGTTTTATATGACCCCTAAATGATGCTTGTGTTGGTCCAGTGAAGACATTTCATTTGCGTATTTGTGGTTATGGATGCTGTAACTCTTTGCAGCATTTCCCACAATTGTGGAAAACTTGGAAATATATGGCATAAAGCCATGGAAACAAATGAAATCATAAAAGTCATGGAAAGTTTAGAGTGAATACAAGTTTTGTAGTTGAGCCCTGCTATTAAATCTCTTACGTATTGAAGCTTGTTTCGGTGACGGAATAAAAAAAAATGAAAACAACTTTTTAATCTCGGAGTTGGGACTTTTTTTCTAGCAATTCTGGGGGAAAAAAAGTTTAAGAAAAAGTCGACTCCCTCTCAATTGCTGCTTTATAACTTGCAATTGCAAGATGTAAAATCAGAATTCGAAGAAGGAAAAAAAAGTCAGAATTGTGAGATATAAACTCGGAATTCTGAGAAAAAATGCCAGTATTGCAAGATGTAAACTTAGAAATCAGAGAACAAATGCCAGTATCACGAGATGTAAATTTAGAAATCAGAGAAAAAATGCCAGTATCACGAGATGTAAATTTAGAAATCAGAGAAAAAATGCCAGTATCACGAGATGTAAACTCGGAATTCTGAGAAAAAATGCCAGTATCACGAGATGTAAACTCGGAATTCTGAAGAAAAATGCCAGTATCACGAGATTGTAACTCGGAATTCTGAGAAAAAAATGCCAGTATCACGAGATGTAAACTCGGAATTCTGAGAAAAAACGCCAGTATCGCGAGATGTAAACTCGGAATTCCAAGAAAAAATCCCAGTATCCCGAGATGTAAACTTAGAAATCAGAGAAAAAATGCCAGTATCGCGAGATGTAAACTCGAAATTCTGAGAAAAAATCCCAGTATCGCGAGATGTAAACTTAGAAATCAGAGAAAAAATGCCAGTATCGCGAGATGTAAACTCGAAATTCCAAGAAAAAATGCCAGTATTCTGAGATGTAAACTCGGAATTCCAAGAAAAAATGCCAGTATTCTGAG